TTCCTTTCCATATATCTTCTTTTTTTTTTTCTTGACTTGCAACATGCCTCTGGACTTAGAAAATGTGACTACTTCAGGAATGCCCTAGAACAGACCCCCTCCCTCCTTGCATGTTATAACCCTCTCCCCTTCCGGGAGTGTCTAATTACTTTCCAGCTGCTGCACCCCATCGCTCCCTACAAAAGGGAAAGTTCCGTGGCTACTGAGTCAGCCAATGTCACATTCAAAATGGTGGTGGCCAGCAGCAGTCCAGGACTTTTGGATGTCTACACAAGGGAGGGTTTTACAGGGAAACATGCCTAAAATATGTTATATGCACATATAATCTTATGGAAATATTGTTTTTGAAATGTATAGGTTTTTAAAGTGTATGTCAGGCCAAAAACTGTTTTAGGCTGGGAATTAGAGTCCCACTCTGGGTTTTCCTGCTATCCAGGGCTCTTTTAAAAAATTATTTGGGGCGTAATTTTCCGCACTTATCCTTTAGGATACAGCTAGATAGCCCTCGGAAACGTGTGATTGTTGCGCGTTTCTTTTAAACCGCGCATATGCCGTACGCCCAGGTGTGAACCCAGCCTTAAATGTTGGATTTCTTCTTTCTCTAGCTCTGTGACAATGATCTCCAGGGCAAATAATACAAATCCCCAAACAGGACATGAACAGCAATAAAGATGTGAAAGAAGGTTTAACCCTTAGTATCCAAAACAAAAAAGTTTTGCCTTTGCATACAGGTTGCTCGTGGACACAGCCAGCCTGATTTAACAAAAGAATAGTTTCAATGAATCTACTGCTCACTGGAACAAGTTACATTCTCCTTTGCAGACTACCAATGAAGCAAACAAGGATGAAGGGAAGAATCTGACTGGTTGTTACACAACAAGACGGAGTATGTTCCCCTGTGTTACAATAAGCTCAGCGCCCTCATTAAATAGGAACAAAATGATGTGTGAGGCCAATTACAGAGCTTTGGAAGAATTCCAAGAGACATTCATAGCGACGCATCCAATTGTCACAGACTAGCTGTGTCAGCAGATGTACACGGTGTAATTCACAATGAAAACTACAGAGAGAGGGGCTTTGGCTTGTAACACATGAAAAAGTGACGCACTTTTGTAAAGGACGTACTGTTAGAAGGAACACACCTTCCCACTAAAGTGTGTTGACTGCTAGTTAGGGTAACGCTAATCCCGCTTCCAAATGCGGAATGATAATGAGTGATAAGCCCAGTGTACACAGTGTGTAACAAACGGCGAGGGAAAAAATACGGGCAAAGGCTAAGCATCGTCATACCAATGATTTATATAAACTACTAACCAATTGCAGGCAGCAAGTGAAAGCAATCACTGAGCTAAGGATGCAATCAAATAAAGCAGCTGTCAAAGTCAGAGTAATAAAAAGGCACTAAACTGGTCCCAGGACTAAACTGCTGCCACCTATGGATGCCTGCATCTACCTTAAGGCCAGATTCATATGGTTCCCTTGTGGCAACATGCACAGCAAGGCACGTTGTGCACGGCAGTGCCCCACAATTTACAGTAACACACTGCTAAAATAGTAAAATCATTTATAGAAAAGGAAAATGCTGCCAGTGAGGATTTAAAATACATATGGCCTATTCACACCAAAGCATTGCACTAAGCGCACGTTAGTGTGTGTTTAGTGCATGCAATCAATGTGCACCTAGTTTGCACTAGGTGTGTTATCATTCATTAAATGGCATCCCAATACCCCTTCCAGTAGCTATGCATTGCGTTAAAAGAAAAAAAGTAATGCATGAACTAAGAGAGGTGCTTTGGGGTGCCATTCAAATAATGGCAATGCAACACACCTAGAGCACAGTAACATGCGCTAGGTGCGCTGTGTGGTAGAGTGCGCTAAATGCATGGTAACATGTGCTTAGTGCAACGCTCTGGTTAGGCCCTTCATTTTTCTGTGCTTTACCTGCAGTTTTTTTTAGGTTGGTGACAGGGTCTCCTTAAAGCCCACTATTTCCATCTTCTCTCTGTTTCCTGTATCACCAGTCACATTCAAACTTCCAAGGCAGGTACAAAAGTTTGTTTAGTGGCAGCGAGAAATCCCTTAGTGCTACATTAGTCTTTCTGTGAGAAACAATGAGGAACGTACAAGCAGTGTTTTTCTAATTGTCAGATTACCAACCAAGAGTACTGGACTGGATCAGTGTACTACAATAAGCTGGAATACAGAGCAGGCTAGGCTGTTCTCCCTGTATGTGTACCAATAAACATGATACCCTATAACTACTACTACTACTACTGTTATTAAAGTATCTATACACGCCCAAGCTCGATTTTAGTTTTGGATAGATTAGACAAGGAGTTAAGAGAACTATGGGGTCAGTGTTTTTCCCCATAGTTCTCCTTAGCGTAACGGGAGGACACAAACTAGCGTCCTCCCGTTACCCAAAGCTCAGTATACCGCGAGCTACAGCTCGCGGTATACTGAGACGCCGCAGCTGGCTCTGCCTATCTAGAGGCAGAGCCAGCTGTACCCGCCCCCTCCCCCGTCCGTTCCGCCAGTCAGCGCTGGCAGATCGGAGCGGGGAGAGGGGAATCCAGCCCCTCCCCTGTCACGGCAGAGAGCCGTGACAGGATCGAGAGGTGAGCGAACCCGGTATGTGTTCTCTCACCTCCCGATCTACTGAGCCGACCTGTGACAGTCTGATTGTCACAGGTCGGCTAGAACTATCAGGTGAGTGGAAATCACTCATCTCATAGTTCTCCTTTAAAACCCCTACCAGTTCATTTTTTGCTGTCCAAGTACCATTGGGAAAATTCCCCCTCACTTCCGGTCCTGGAAATGCAACAAGAGGTTAGAGGAACCTCCCATAGTGGGGGAAATGCCCTTCTTAGACCCTGGAAACAGGCGGCCACATTGGATGATTGCCTCTTACATTTTGTTTGGAGACAACGCTAAATTATTGGCTTTCCCTTCCCGCCTCGGTGACACTGGTCACAGTACCTGCAGAGGGGGTGAAAGCTCCCAAATGGGGATACCCAGAGGGTCAAACCCTTCCCCACCTATCCAGAACTAAATTAAATAAAAAAGGAAAGAGCTTTTGCTTAGCCATACACTATCTAAAGCTGGATAAACACATAAATATTTTCTTCGGTCAACCTGCACGCTGTACAAAGAAAATAGAACAGATTCCCCCATCAATGCGTACGAGCATTGAGGAAGGACAGTGGCTGTATCTAATGCATTCAGCCACTGTCAGAATGCCCAAATGGAGCCTGCAGCTGATTGGCTGTCGGCTCTATTCAGCTGAGAATTTGTCAACCAGCTCCTTTGATCACCTGATGCCTGCCGGAAGGGTACTGCCAGTGGCACACAGTTATCAATTTTGGCCAGTTCATCAGGAACCAGACAAAATTCTATACGCGTTTCCCCAGTTTTACGCACCACATTCCACAGCAATACACTTACTACCCGCTTACCTAACGAACGCTAGAAGATTTTGTCCTACACATAGAAAACACTTCAGATCTGTAAATCGTATTTTTAGAGATCTGAACGCAGCAGCATCTTCAGTATCTTATGCCATGTGGCCATGCAAGCAGATGTCTGTACAGCAGTAAATTGCACTACGTAGAGACTCAAAATCAAAATAAAATCTGCATCTGTGCTCAGTAATTTACGCTTGTGTACATCTAAACACATGTAAACGCATGCACACTTCTACTTTTGTACACATGTAAAGTTGAGCTACAGGAACGGGAGAACATTTTCACAAATCTGTGCATTTGCAATTTTATATGTGCGATAGCAGAAACACTTTAGTGTCCATTAGATGCCCTTCTTTCCGCAGGATCCTTGCGCCAGCAAGACCCTGCGTAGGCATCACTAAATGAATTACAGCCATGTGCAGGAGCCTTAAAGTGACATTAAACCCTCAGATTTTTTAACATAAAACAATACTGTAATGCGTGCCTTACTGTAATCCATGGTTGTTTCCCTTCTCTTTGCTGTTCTTCCTTTTAAATCCGTATCTCTTCTCATGCTCTGCAGAACTTCTGTTTTGCAGCAGACTGCCTTGTCTCAGGAATGGATACGCGGTGTCTGTGTATCCGTTTGTATAGGCTTGTAATCTGAGCCAGCACTACAGGAAGAGGCCCTGAGCTGAAAAGGGAAGTTCTGCCCAGCATGAGAAGACATGAGGATTTAAAAGGAAGAGCAGCAAAGAGAAGGGAAACTACCATGGATTACTGTAAGGCGCACATCACAGTATTGGATTATGTTAAAAAATCTGAGGGTTTAATGTCACTTTAAGTGGGTTAAGGAGCGTCTCGAGTTTCTAATCAGATTCTGGACGCACAAAATTCTATTTTCCCTAAATGCTGTTAAATTGAACACATCTAAAAACAATTAAATTACACCGCTGAAAAGTCATTATGTACATTTATACGAGTTTAGAAATGTCCCCTAATGCATGTCTTAAGACCCATTTAGATTTGTGAGCTGCCATAATGCAAGTGCGTTAATGCCTATTATGTTGCACGTTGCATTAATGCAGCCGCTGAAATCAATGGGCTTCCGACACCAAAATGTTCCAAAATTTGGAAAAATCTCCAAATTTCTGCTGCAATGCACTATAGTGTGTTGTCATGAATTGCAATGCATGTGCGATTTCTTAGTGTATCGAGGTTCTATTCAAAACAACGCAACACATCAATACATGCAACATACTTTGGTGTGTGTGTGTTAACATGTGCGTTCCTGCAACGCACTGATGTAAATTATCTTTAAATAAGTATTCACACTAGTAAAATAGCAAGCAAAAATACATGTAGAATCTTAACAGAGGCTCCAGGACATACTTCTGGCTGCTTCCCTCTACAGTATGAAGATTGGGAACAAATGTATGAACGAGAGATGGTGTGTAGTCCCAGTGTAAGGGTTACACATACCAGTAGTGGAGCACTTGTGATAATTCCCCCCATTGACTCCCCCAATGCTGTGATAAAGCCCCCCCATTGACTCACCCAATGCAGTGATGATGAAACCCCTGGGGGGTCTGAGGGCTCTCCTGACCCAGGCATCTCTCAGCACCTCCAGGTTGGCACTCTGGCCCTGGACCAGCAGCACCCAGCTCTCCAGCCAGCCCTGGAAGGACACCTCAGACACGGCACGCACCAGCCTCCTGTTCCAGAAGCACTTCGCGTTGGCAGCCTGGAAGTCCTGGAAAACCTGGCTGCCCTTCTCCCCTTCCCCCGTGCCATCCAGTTTACAGAGGACCAAGGCTAGGGAAGTGGGGGCCAGCTGGACCGCCCTGTCCCGGGACATGCTGCCGTGCTTACAGCGCTGCGCTCACATACACAGGACACTCTGCCTACACCTCCCTGCGAGAATCAATTACTCTCCGCTGCCCGGGATACTGCAAGCGCTGAGGGGCGGAGCCGGCAGCCGTCATTCATCTCACACACAGCCAATGACGGGGCTTCAAAGACGGGGGCGTGGCACAGCTGTGCACCTTGGGTTTTGTGAGTCCCGTAGAAGTGGGCGTGGCGAGGGTTGGTTGATTAGAAGGTGTGCACGTATCACCTTACAGACACCATCATCAGGACAAGTACAGCTCACAGTTCGCTACAACACAGCATCATCATCATCATTATTATTATTAATCCCGGGAACAGATACGTCATGTATTGCAGATTACTGCTCCATAATGTGGTTTCTGTTCCTTTCCTTTTTACAGCTGAACTCTGGACGAAAAAAAACATTAAAGGGGTATTGAAGTCTCCATTTGCTTTACAAATACCCCCAGTGGCGACTCTAGGAACAATATATAGGGGGGGCACATAAGATACCACAGTCAAATCTGGGGGGCACTAATAATTTTCATTGCATGTTGCAACCGCTGGGCGCCGAAAGCTGATTTAATTGCGAATGGTTGCGGTTGCGACGTGTAGTCCAACGCCGCCCACAATCCTGAATACCGCAACCACGAACGCCATCCGCAATTAAATCAGCTCTCAGCGCCCAGTAGGTGCGGAATCCAGCAGGGGCTGACTGGCAACTTTTAACCCAGGGGACAAGTACAACCCAGAGGCCCATGGTGCAGTGTCAAAATCAGTGTTCTATAATTTTTCTCGATCCTATACATTTTCTCGACTGTCACTTCCAGTGGGGCCGGGTCATCCAAATCAGCTGTTTTCATTACCCCCTTTCTTCATGACATGTACACCTGGAGGGGACGCGGTAGAGAAATTAATGGGTTGAGGAAAAATATAGAAACACTGGTAGTGTAGGGATGCCTCGTCAGTGCTGTGAGCGTGTACAACTGCTGCGACCCTGGTATTTCTGCCACTAACTCTAAGCTGTAGAGGGACTACAAATCTCAGCAACACATTATATAGCAATGCAGAATACCACCATCAGCTATGGAGCACTAGAAATCTCAGAAAAACATTATACAGCAATGCAGAATAATAACATCAGCTATAGAGAACTATAATTCCAACCAATACATTATACCCCAATGTAGAATAATACCAACAACTATAGAGGACTATAAATCCCAGCAATACTTTATATAGCAATGAAAAAAAAACACCAGCTATAGAGAAATACAACTTTTTTTTATGTGTGTGTTCGCAGGGGCTAAGCAAAACAAATGACAAGCGCACTCAACAATTCGTCACCAGCTATACAGTAAGGTGCACATGAAATGGGCTTTAAACAGTAAAACAGTAGAAAGTTATCATGGCACATTTACAAGCCAGCATGTAAAAAACTTGTCTCACCACTAAGGTTAACAACAGAGGTTTGGATACACGTCTTCTGCAGAAAATGTGAAAGCCGCACAGCCTTAGTGGTGAGACAAGTTTTTTACATGCTGGCTTGTGAGTGTGCCATGATAACTTTCTACTGTTCGCTGGGGCCTTTAATTTTATGGGGAATTTTTTATTTTAGTTTATTTAACTTTTTATTTGTTTATAGGGCGCCTAAAGGCCTAAGGCCGGCCCTGGACAGGGGTTCCATTTCTCTTGCCTTGCGCTAGCGCCGGGACTGCCGCCACTGTTAGCATGGGGCACACGGGGGGCAAGTGATAACCTAGGGGGGCAATTGCCCCCCTGTAGCGATGCCACTGCATATACCTACTTCTAGCTAGGACTAGATATATGTTCCAATGTTTAAAATACGAAACAAGTGGCCAAATATGTAATCATTTACCTGTGTCTGTGCCGCTCGCTCCTGGCCGCAGAACACAGCTTCCCGAACCGCGGTGCTGGAGGATGATGTGCGCAGGAGCATGCGCACTTGATATAATCGGGTCGAGACAGTGTAAGTGAATGCACACAGCTGGGAGCGCGCACATGCCGGACAGATTTCGTGGGACACAGGAAAAAATAGAAGTCTGCGCTGGATCAGAGAGAGGCACAAGTGCTGCATTGACTGTTAGAAATGACAGGAAGAAGATGTTTGCAGCAAGAGGAATCACATAAGATAAATACTTACAGCAGCATTAGGGGGGGACGAAAAAAATTAGCCTTTAATTTCACATTCCACCCCATTGCTGTTGTAAGCACTTACCTTATTTGATGCGATCATCTTCTTCCGTCCACTCGTTTCTGACAGTCCCTCAAGCGCTGGTGCCAGTCTTTGATCCACCACAGACTCCACATGCCCCACGGTGTCTATCCACATCTGCGCTCACAGCTGCGTCCATTGACCTTCAGTGTCTGTTTTCTCCCTTTCCCTCTACTGCGCATGCTCCCGCACACCTCTTCTGCAAAGCCGATCGGGAGCCGTGAGTGCTTCGGCCTGGAACGAGCGGAGCTGGAACAGGTAAGTAATTAGGTATATAAAGGTAATTAGGTATATAAAGGTAAATGCATTTTAGGGCACGTATACACAATATAATACCCATGTTTTTGGTCAAATATAAAAGATGAGGTTCCACAGAAAAAATAGATATCAAGCATGTCAGCCAAATTATGAAACAGTGAAAAACTTTGGTACCCCAAATTGTCCATAGGCAACGCTTTAAAAGTCTCTACAGGTCATCAATTTACAGTCAAACATGAATAATGGCCCTGCAATTATTGCTCTCACTCTAGCATGTGCAGTAATACCTAACATGTGTCGCACAATCATTTGTTTTTAGATATAGGCGCACCCAACACCTGTGTTTTTGTTCACAGTGTGTATGCAGGGATGGTGGGGCTTTAACATTTTTATTTTTTTTTAAATTTTATTCAACTTTAATTGTTTTAAACTTTTTTTCACACTTAATTTTATTGTTATTAAATAGGGGGCTGAGCCCCCTATGTGATAGCATGTTACTGGTGACAGGTCCAGTTTTAGGAGACATTAGGGGTCTATTAAACCCTAATTGCCACCTTTGTAGCGCATTAAAGCTGACCAATCACAGATCGTATACTAGTCTTTACTCCTATACAGATCCAGCTGGCTATTACTACTTGATTCCTCAAGTTTTAATCTTATTATTTAAGGTATGCACATTTTTTCACATGCTTCTCCCTGACATACGTTTTCAGTCCCCTCAGAGCATAAAAATATGGTTGTATCTGGCTGCAGCAATGTTTTTATACAATGTTTTATACAGTATTTTTACAAATAGATTTTACTGTTTTTAATCAGTCCTAGTGTTTGCTGCAGGCTGAGCACCATGTTTGTATACACTTATAAACTGCCCGTGTATCACATGCAAAAAGAGAAATTTTAAAGGTATAACCCAATTTATTATTGCGTGTATGGGTGTGTATATATATATACATTTAAGGATGTGTCTATTAGATTTTATTCCATCAAGTATTATATTAACATATTTCTTTTAGCCCTGAGGAAGGGGGGAGGGTTGCCCTGAAAGGTGTTGGCTGATTTATTGAGTTAATTGAATTGTGAACAACTAAAACATTTTATGGTTAAAGCAAGGAGTAGATGATGAGGGGCAGGATGCCAGCAAAGGACAGAGTCATTGTCAAGAGACAGGCTGCCAGAAGAGGACAGAGTTGGCATTAGGGTACAGATTAAGCAAGGATGGAGCCAATGGCAAGAGACAGGCTGCTGGCCAAGCGGGGGAAAGTCTGCCAGCCAAGGAATCAGTTTGCTGCAAAGGAAAGACTGCTCATCACTGATTAAGTGGACAAGGTGTTGGAGCCGAGGAGGACAGAAGTAGCAGTTAGGGGCAGGATGCTAGTAGTATAAAAGTGCCGCGGCCATTTATTTCCAAATATTTTGTTGTACGTGTCGTTATTTTAATATATAATACCGCCTGCAATTCCATGAGTTTACAGTGAGGGCAATATGAAATCACTGGCAATAGACAGGCCACCAGATAAAAACATAATTGGCATTGACTGACCAGCAGCTAAATGAGGGACAGGCTGCCGACTGAGGAGGGAGTGATGATGATGGCAAGGCATAAGCTGAGAACAAGCAAGTGATTGCTGGCCAAAGAAGGAACAGGTAGTGAAGGTCAGGCCGCTAGCCAAGAACAGAGTTCACAGTAAGAGGCACGAGGCTTGTAGGACATAGAGTCGGCAACAAGGGACAGGAGCAGGCAGGGAAAGGAGCAGCAGCAAGGGATAGGTAGATGGACAAGGACAGAATAGATAGTACAGTTTGCTCTACTTCTCCCCTAACACAGCAGCAGGTCGTTACCATGGTAACTAGAGGTGCCTAGGTCCCGGCTCGATGATCCCCCGCATACAGTAAGTTGACGTACTGCAGGCTCTCTTCCCATCGCTAGACGAGAAGCGCGCACCCGCCTCTGATTGGTCCTGACATCATCAGCCACGGCCTGCACTACAAGTCGCATCTTAGCGACGTCGTACGCTGAGAAGCATGTCGGAGAAGAAGCGGCGGGCAAGGAGAAGCCGCAGTACGTAGCCAGGGACAGTGAGACTCTCACTGAGACCGACGTGAGACTGCACAGGTCAGTGCCGCTGCGGCCGGCGGGGACTCGTCCTTCAGATGCCGCCCGCCCGCAGCGGCAGCCCACACACTGGTCTCGATCGGGCGACTGTCACTGCCAATTTTCCGCTCTGCTCCCTGGCGCCTTAAGGCAAGTGCCCATGTTGCCTTCCGCTAGCGCCGGCCCTGAGTAGAGGCGGCTGACACACAACCAAGCCCACACTGACTGTTGTGTGGTTTGTAGTAGTGTAGTGTATGTGATGTAGTGCTTGGCTGTCATGCTAAGTCACTGGGTTAAGTATAGGGCTAAGGAATGGTCACTTCTCTTCTCTAATTTTAATTTGTGGTATTTCACCAATTTTTTAGGAGCACTGAAAACAGCCACAACATACAGCCAACATTTT